GAAAAGGGCTTTCCGAATTGGGGTCATGGGAAGGATTCTGTAACCGTAGCCAAAGTTATGGTCGAATTACCCAAAAAAAGTCCTAAAAAAATAATAAAATAAAATTTTCCAAGCACTCCGCGCTGTGCGGAGTGCCTGAATTCAAATTTTTAATTTTTTTACTTATATTTTTGTGTTCATTTTCATGCTCATTACGGAATATCAAATAAAGTCGAAATATTATATTCTTAATATCGTTTTGAAGTATTCGCGACATAGTATTGCACGTCGTTCACGGTGCGTGAAACGGTCAATCATAACAAATGTTATCGGACGTCAAAGTAGGTATGTTCAAACTATATTTCGAAATTTTCGATAATGAGCTAACTTTAAAAATTTATCGACGACTGTGCGATAATCGAATCGATAAATATTTTACATTTTCTCGAAACTCATTTTGAGAACTATATCGTAGAGACATCGAATAATTTAAATAGATATCAAAAGTAGTTAAACGGATATTAAACGTATGTGTTAAAAAATACGAATAATTCGTTTTTCTTAACAAAAATCAATTATTTTATTACTATTTCGAAATTTTCGATAATAAGTTAACTTTAAAAATTCGTCGACGATTGTACGATAGTCGAATCGGTAAATGTTTACATTCTCTCAAAACTCATTTTGAGAACTATATCGTAGAGATATCGAATGATCTAAATAAATATCGAAAATAGTTAAACGGAGATTAAACGTATGTGTTAAAAATGCATTTTTTTTAAAAAAATTATTTCTTTTTTTCTTTTTTGTTTGACGTCAAATTTTTTTTTTTTTTTTGGTTTAAATTGTCGAATTTTTTTATATATAAATTTTTTTTAGATGTTAAAATAATTAAGATGAAAAATTTGTTGGCTCAATTTCTTGTTGCTATAATTCAAATGTATTTTTTCAAACATTATTATTTTAGTTTAAGTGATTATTTTACCTATAAATGACGTATTTGATAATACTATATTCAATATAAGTAAGTCATTTAATTAATCGAATCATTTTTTTATTGTTAAATATCTAATTGATATAATTAAATCGTTTAATTAATCGAATCAATTTTTTATTGTTTGCAGTCTCCCTTTGTTTCCTTATTTAATATGCTAATATCTCCTTTTATAAAATTCAAGCCATGCATTGCATGGCACAAGACTAGTATATATATAAAAGCGATCTCCACCATTTTGCTTCACATGTAATATTTTAATCCAAAGGTTCAATGTATATTGAATCACATAATAATGTTGTTGAGATGATTATATACCTCCCGAAATCTGCAAGAATAATTGGGTGATTTTCCAATTTTTCTTTTTTCTTTATTGTTTTTGTATATTTTTGATATTGTGTTTTTTTCTCCCCCCATCTATTTGTTTTAAATCAAACTAAGAATTTACTCCAACTTATATGTTAACGATCATATTGACGATTTCATTACAAAAGGAGCTCAAATGCAATCGTTTCCAAGGTTTTAGATCCCGTACGATAGAATTCAATTGTTTAAAACCCTATTGTCATCCCTTCGAGTAAATGAGATTCCAAGTATAACTTATCCTAATTTCTTTGATACTCAACTCTTTTGTATCAAACAAACTATAGTGTGTGTTTTTACTAAGCTTAAACCCTTCTTTTACATAAAAATTTTAAACTTAATAATTTTTGTTAGTCAAAATCGAATGGGAGTTTTAAGTTGCAAAAATTTTCATTGAGAAAGTTGGGGTTTTTTTGGTAGCACAATGTCAAAATAAATAATTTTTCTCTAGTAAAAAGAACTTATCGATCCACACATGATAATACGATGGAGCAAATTTTCCTCAAGAATTCAAAATGTTGCTATCTTTGGAATTCCTGTACAGAAGAATAAGAAGATTCATTGATCTCAATTCCTGTCAGAAAGCAGCACTAATTAATCCTAAAACCCTAAGCCTAACCCTAATTTCATAGAGTAGAGAGGGGCTAATTAATTTTTACAAACAAACAGTCTTTTCAAGAACAATTATATGCTCCATTTCGAGGCGGCAGCAGCCCTTTCCCGGCGTTCACTCCCACCACGCCACCTCCACCTCCTCTTGAAACTATCAATACTTTTTTCTCTGGATTCTCGTGTACTCTTTTCCTAGATTACCCTTGTTTGTCCACCAACAACTACCCAAATTGCCATTAATGTTTCTCAGTTTCTCCATTTTTCACATTGCTCATGTTTATAGATTGTTGGGTAAGTGAGCGGCTGTGTATGAAAACATACACATTCACTGCAATTGCAGCTGTGCATTGACCTAAGACAATTGCGGCTGGCACTGCAACTTCTGTCGAGAGAGTTCAATGAACAACTCTTAACTAGCTCTGATAATTAACCCATTAATGTGCGTGTTGATAATCCAGAGGGTTTGTCTTGGATCAACTGATACAACAGTGTTCACAACATCCCAAGATTGCATCAGATTGTTCACAGAGTGTTTAATTTTTGATTTTGAAAAGAGTATGAGACAAAAAGATTGTTATGCTGTTGATGATAATAATTTTGGACAGGGTTGGTCATATTCGTATTATGCTATTTGTACAAGAAGTGTTTACAAATTTGGTTGACAAAATAAGATTATTTGACACAGAATATCAATCCAATAATGTGGTAGAATAGTAAAATAATCAAATAGAAATCCAACTAATCATTTAAAATGTACCAATTACCCTACGTTTTGTATTGTAACCTCCCGTGAGAGAGATGATATTTGAACTATGAATTTATTGTAAATTCTTTGATGCATCAAGACATATATGCAAACGGATAATCAACGGACTAAAGACTACAAATGTCCAATAACAAAAGTTATCTGACACGTGGCAGTCACATTCCTAGGAACCTTGCCACAAAACCTGAATCGGCAATGGCGGTCTATAGATAAAATATTAAATGCACGTTTAACCCTAACTGGCTGCTACCGAATCCCACCACCCTTATTCACCAAATACTGATATCTCACTGTCTACATTTTTCAACGTTCATGCATTTATATATAATATAAACTCTATAACAGAACTTTTGCTGAGAGCGAAAGAGATTCTTCACTGGCAAGTCAGGTTTTATACATAGTAAGTTCTTTTCTTTTTTCGTGTTTTTTTTTTCCGTTTTAATTTGGTCTCTTTTTGGAATTTTTCAAGAGTTCCATTAAATTTTTATGTTTTTTTAGTCACTGTTTCACACTTATATATTATATATATTTTCAAATTTAGAAGTAAAGAAAAGTTTGCATGTGGCCGGGTGTATAGTTTTTAGAATTTTTTGTCCATTTTCTCTGTCGCTAGGTTTTAAATACTATATGTACTATAGGATTTCTTGTTAATTTTTCTCATTTGGTGCTATGGAGAGATACAGGCCACCTGATGTAAAATAACAGGTCTCCGTAGTTGATATTGATCGATGAGATTGATTGATCACGACTTATTTTCAAATTTAGAAGTAAAGAAAAGTTTGCATGTGGCCGGGTGTATAGTTTTTAGAATTTTTTGTCCATTTTCTCTGTCGCTAGGTTTTAAATACTATATGTACTATAGGATTTCTTGTTAATTTTTCTCATTTGGTGCTATGGAGAGATACAGGCCACCTGATGTAAAATAACAGGTCTCCGTAGTTGATATTGATCGATGAGATTGATTGATCACGACTAATACTGCTTACTAAATATGCATCGAAAGTCATATTTTTATGTTCTTTGAAACTATTTATACCAACCAAGCTACACTACACTAATAAAAAATGGTTGACATGCAACTTGATCGAATACTCACAATAGGAGGGGTGCACCCTTTCTTTGGAGTTCTTAAAAGCATGCAGGTCCTGCACGCATTGTAAGTGTAGATCAATGTTTATTTCATGCATTTTCTGTCAATTCAAATTAATTCTTATTTGTACTGGTCTTTGAACTTTCTTTGACTCGACCTTTGAGTGGAAGACAGAAGGCACAGAACCAAAGAGCTACACTGATATACAGAATCAACTTCTAGTTTTAGAGAGGACATGCACTGTAAAACAAATAAATAAAAACTATTTAAACCTTTTGACGAGTGCGATTTCCAATTAGATGGTCAACAGATTTCTACTTGGAAAACACAAAACAAAATCTTTTAATCTTTCTTATTCTCATATTTTATTGAACAACCTTTGGTGTTAATTTGAACTCTAGAGTAATTTTTACTCCTTTTTCCCACTACTTTAATTATTCAATATCTCGGATATTTCCTGTATGTATAATATTGCATGTCCGTACACATTTATCATCAACACGTTCAGGGTCATGACTCGGGGATCCACAGACTGGTTTTTCATGGAATATGCATCTAAGGATACGATCCTATGTTTAGGTTGGATTTGATTTCTGATTCTATTTCCTTATATCTTTTTGCTAGTTTTAGTTCAAGAATACTAGTTGCACGAGTGAAAACAAGAAAATAATAGGGTGAGTTAACTTTATATGGGCTGTCAAATTTCAGTCCAAGAAATGATTTTTGCAGTGTGCGAATGCTGGGTTTTGGGGGGTCATTATTTACACAGAACGAGGAAGAGAGTCCCAATAACCAAGTGGGGTTGAGGGGTAGGGTAGGGTGGGTGTGAGGGGTTGGCGAATTGGATTCATCCAGTTGGAAGTGCAGGTTTGTCGCACCACGAAGACTGAATGTGGACCACAGCATTTGGACTTTCTGTAGACTGTACATAAACACACACTCGTGCCCTTTTATTTTATGCAGTAAATTTATTATACTATTTGCCTGTTTCCCTGTTTAAAGTTTTGGAATTTGGTGATCAGAAGAAGGGTTTGGTAGGTGATGGACTTGTGAGAAATTTAGATTTAAATACAAGTATTTCTCTTCATTTTTCTCTTTTTTTGCTCTCCCTCTCTCCCATTTGTCTTATTTCATTCTTCTGCAAGCTCATAATTTTTTTGGGAAGACAGATAAAAGAGAGTTTGCAGTATATTGCATACTTCTTCATTAGGGTAAATCTATGTCAGTTTCACTATCAAGAATTCTTAAATGATGCCTTATATAATATGTATATTATTGTAGTAATCTTCTGCGCGTTTTTTCTTTTTCTTTTCATCCGCAGGAATTGATCACCAGTTAAATTTATCTCAAAAGAATTAGTGCGAATTGGTTCCATGAATTCAAATAATTGGCTTTCGTTTCCTCTTTCTCCCACTCATTCTTCCATACCACCCCACCTACAAGGTGCTCAATCTCATCAGTTTTCTTTAGGGTTAGTGAATGATAATATTGACTCTCCATTTCCAGCCCAAGGTAAGTCTCTTGAATCTCCTTGTTTTTTTTTTTTTTATTGAAAATCCAAGATATTGTTTGTGAGCGTAAGGGTATAAACCCGACTGACTATGAGAGTAACTTGCAGAGTGGAATTTGATGAACAGTCAAGGACACAGCGAAGTTCCAAAGGTTGCTGATTTTCTCGGCGTAAGTAAATCTGGAAACCAGTCAGAACTCGTGCCTTATAACGATATCCAGTCGAATGGCACTGAGTTCTTATTCTCGGCCAACAGTCTCGTACCGGTGCAACATACTACAAACAACTATGATTTTCAAGAAAATCCTCATAATATGCAATCTTTGACACTTTCAATGGGTAGTGGTAAGGGTTCAACTAGTGAAACTAGTGCCATTGTCCCTGCAGCTAGTGCTGATAACAGTAATACTAGTATTGTTGAAGCTACTCCCAGGAGGACTTTGGACACTTTTGGGCAAAGAACATCGATTTATCGGGGTGTAACTAGGTAGGATTCTACATTTTCGAAACATGTCATTCTCTAATTTTTCATAAATAAGGGATTAGATTGCAGTCCGTTTGATAATAATCGAGTGACATTGTTTCTTCAGCTCCAACTGAGGAATCCATGAGATATGTTTCATAACTAGCTACATTATGAATTTAGTTTTGGTTTGTAATTCTAGGCATAGGTGGACAGGAAGGTATGAAGCCCATTTATGGGACAACAGTTGTAGAAGGGAAGGTCAATCAAGGAAAGGTCGTCAAGGTATAACAAAGCAGTAGCTACACATGGCTTTTAATTTATTTATTTACAAATAATTAATTATCTCAATTGGTTGCTAATTATTTTTCTCCATTTTTTTTCCAAATTCACTCCTCATCATCTGCAGTGTATTTGGGTGAGTTAATCATTTTTCTTTTTATTATATGGAAGAAATAAAATTTAATATGGTTTGATTTACTTACAAAATTGCTTCTTCTTCTTTTTTTT